CCGCTCTCCCCGTGTACTTCCATCGCATAGTTTTTGAGGACAGAGTCACCTTGGTGTACAGGTGTTGTACAACCCTCAGGACAACCTTGGCCCACCGCTAAGGACCCTGGCTGCTCGCGTTCCCGACACAATCAGCACATCTTCTCGGTGGGATGCAGAGTGCCCGTTGCCTAGGTGCGCGAGGAAGTTGGGATTTTCCCACCTCCTGCACATGATGTATGAATTTGTCCCTCAGTTTAGGTCATCTACCTGCATCTGCCTCCCTGGATAGGTGGCTGCCACCAGACACTCCAACACAACCCCGGCAGCTTGGTCAGTCTGCAAAAACAGGCACAAAGAGGAAATCCCAGAGCTGGAAGTGCTCGAGCATGCTACAAGCTTGGCCACCCATCTTGCTGCCCTGTCAACAGCCTGCCACCAGCCAGCCCCACCACCAGACCCCACCAGCACCGGCCCAGCCCTCACAGCAAACAGCCAGGGAAGCCGGTGCCTTGCAATCTCAGCGGCAGATAAAGAGATTTCATTCTGCATCCTCGCTGCCAGCTGCAGTCTCAGCTTCTTGGGGGGGGGGGGGGGGCGATGCTTTTTGAAAGGATTCATTTCGTTGTCCTATGCCTTTCAACAGTGTCTCCAGAGTACTTGACTCAATATTAGCCTTGGTGCTGCATACTGAATGATGGGTGGAGGCTGTTTAGAAACATATTTCTTTGTGTGTGGCAAGGGGTAGAGCAGCTCAGTAATTATTACCAATGGGTTCTCTTGTAAAGTGTGCTTCTCTTCACCCCATTGATATGGTAAAATCGGGAGAAGCAGCATCTCATTTTGGCATTTCAAACCCTCTAAGTACTGGGCAATGCTAAATACTGCAGCGACAATCACCTGCACTTTCTCTTCACTAGCCAAATAGTTCTAGCTCTAAAATCCCATGGCTACGCTGGTGCACGTCACCCTAGCTTTTGCACTAGAGCTGCTGTGATTTCCATCAGCTGAGGAGCTGCCCTCCTGTTTTTTTTACTGGTAATTATAATTCATCAGCTTTCTATGGTGCTCATTACTGTGGTATTTGAGTGCCTATTTTTACAGGCTTGAGTGGCTTGCTGTATACCATCTCATCTCATTGCAGACAGACGAGCAACCTCTCAGGCTCCCTCTGGAATGAGCTCTCCATGTCCTGCACACTCCCTGTTCTTCCCTTTTGATCACAGCATCCACAGCACAGGTCTATTCTTTTTAAAAATAATATTAAAATCATGCAGCACAAATAAAGAAGGCAGTAATCAAAGCAACTTAACCATTTGCTGGTCTACATGAAGATTTTAACTACCCTAATGACATTATCCAACCGTATACTGGGAAAAACAAATCTTGGAAGAATCAGAGTCTGAAAACGCTTCCACATGAAACCACCTCCTGCGGCTTTATGATGTGAAAAGCCAGAAGGGATGATATTGCAACAGTGACCGAGAGCAGGTTGAACCAAACGACACACGAGTGTAACACGGAAAACCTAACATCCCCCTCCACACTTTGTCATGGCCTGACGTGAGCAGGTTGAGGGTGTTCGTTTCCTCCTCTTCCTCTTCACTTATACTTCTTGTACAGAAGACACACTGTAAGAGGAAGGAGAGCCTCTACAGGGTCCCAGTTATTTATAAAGCCCAGGAAATTATTTTGCAGACAGGGAAACTGAGGCACATATGGAGAAAACGTCTCGTGTAACACCACTGCAAGGGGCCAAAGCAGAGTAGCTCACAAGCGCCAGGGTCTCGTCCCCCAACTCTGTGGTAAGTATTGAGAGGTGCATCTCTGCGACAAACAAAGTGTTATTAGAAACAAGGATACACCTGGAACCAGAACTTCTGGGTGCTATGTGGAGAGAAAGCTAAGATAGCTTTCTGGTTTCCTTTAGCCGCCCAGATTTCAGCTACACTTTCAATCAATAATTATCTCTGATTTTAACTTTGGTTTGATCCTGTTTCTTTTCTGCTACAGAAGTTGGAGAAATCCGGAGTGCCAGCCAGCACACCTGCCACCTCACACCACGTGTCTCCCAGCAGTGGCACCGCTCCCAAAGGAGCACGACTCCTTCGTGAGATTTTAAGAATTAAACGCCCTCCTAGTGTTTTGGAGATCCGAGATCCCAGCGCTGCTAACCTTCATCACTGTTGTCATCCACAAGGATAATCTCCTTCAGGAGGTGAGCCGGCGTATGATTAACAGCGCTGTGCACCGATCGCAGGATAACCGACAGCGCTTCGTTCACGAAGATGAAGATGATGGAGATCTGGGGTAGGTCCTTGCCGTATTTCAGCTCTTTGCACCTGTAGCACGAAGGGCAGAGAGAGAGAGACAGGGTTAGCAGAGCACACAGAGCAGTGCTGCGAGTCGGGCACACATTTAATTCACAGCACAAGAGGACGGCTGACATCCCGCAGCTTTGCACAGCCATGTATTACAGCTGCCTGCGCCTAATTTCAGCAGTGCTGTCTAGGAAGGGATGGCAGCGATGGAGAGTGTCCTCCGGGCTCAGAGAGCACCAGGGGCAGGGGGCAAATCCAGAGTTCGCTTAGGTGAGGTTGCGTTTGCATGTCTGCGGGCATGCAACAAAAAGCAGCCTCCAGAACTGAGAAAATGGCTTTACCATTTAAAGTGAAACTCCACATTCCTATTCTGGTTTAAGATTAATAGGTGCTCAGAAATGAGCTTTGTTCTTAAATGGCACTTGTGAATTTTCTTCCCGTTTGCTTTGGAACGAAATGAATATGAAATGACCCTTGGTTAAATAGTCTTAATAAATGTTTTAGCTCTCTTTGCAGATACTTCTGAACACATTCCTGTCTCTGAAGTACCCCAGCAGAGCCTTGCCATGAACCGGTGTCTTTGTATTTCACAGCCAGGATAGGTTAAAACCAAAAACATGCAACCACCTCTCCGGGTTTCAGGAGTAATTGCTTGACTGGAGCTGGTTTTATCTGCTTACACACATTTCTGCGTATGAGAGCGGGACAGAGGTGGAAGGAGCTCCCAGGTCGCCTACCAGCCAGCATCATCCCTGGCAAGCAGCATGTTCCCGTTACATCGATACACCAGACTTTGAGGCCAAGGACACCCATGGCGCAGAACTGGGGTAGCTCTAAGTGGAAGAGGTTCTTCCAGGTAACCCACAGCTCTCCAAGGAGCACACATCGTTTCCAAAGAGATGCAGATGTTGTTTAAATGCCACACTTTATCCTACCCAGAAACCTGATCTTAATAAAGTACTTGCAGAAAGCAAACAGGTGATCTTTAACTGCGTCAAACAATTTAATCAAACTCTCCAGCCTTCCCTACAATAAATACGTGCGAGGGAAGAAGAAAACGAGCCTCCTCGCTCCCTCTCCACATTCATGACAGATTAGACATGCAACATTAGCAGTGTTCGCAGAATTACAATGAGCGTTTACCAAGTAAATCCTGCCCAGATAAGCAAAGAAAGACTGAACGCACGAATGACATCCCAGCGTCGCTTCAAGCTCATTGACTCCCCAACAATGACTCCGTATTTAATTGTACTGGGTGTTTCTCAGGCAACAGCAGGCATTCTTCAGACTCCAAAATGAGACTTGGGAGACAAAGATTTTCACAGAAACACAGTACTTTATGAATCTTCTTTAGTTAAACAAGTATGCTGGATAAAAACAAGGTTGTATTTCTTGATTTAACTGTTGCCTCGCCTAAAGCAAGCCAAGCTCTCTACAAAAGGGAACGTACTGAATGCCAAAAAGGCTCTTCCAAAGGGAAGCGCTCTCTTTAAAATGAACAGTCGTGATGGGGTAAAGTGACAATTGACCCTGAAATCCTGCCATGAAAGTCAAACTAAACTGACTCTGAGATTAAAAACCTGCTTTTGATATATGTCAATACCTGCTAGGGTGAGGAGAAGGTGGTCACAGGAGCAGAGCACTTCCTTTTAATCATTGCACCCCTCTGGGCAGCCTTCCCCCGGGGCACGCTTCGGGGGGGATAAAGAGCTCAGCTTGTGATCAAAGAGGTTTGGAGGAAAATCCAAACTGAGTCCTTTGAGGTTCATCTCCTGCTCATTCCCATTCGCCCTGCACCACTCTTATCACAGTTCTCCTTCCCCGATTGCTGAGGACAGGCGAACAAAGATACAGGGAGAAGAGATAAGTCCGGGGAAGGAGCGGGCATGCCAAATACCCGCATTGTTCATATGCACAGAGCTGCAATTCTCCAAAGGCAGGCGGGGGGAGGACACGGGACGGACGGTGGCTTTGGTTGCAACCACAGGAGCGGGGAAGGCAGCGATTTAAAACCAAATTAACCTCAAGTTTGTCAGTCTTCCTCACGAGCTCTCCCCAGTTGCTGGTGCAAAAAACAGCTGGGCTGAGCGACGCTCTCTGCCCACAGCCACGTGCCATCGGACTTCAGCCCTCCGGGCTCCACCGTAGCAGTTTATTAGTGACAAGCTGACGTGTCAACAGATATTCATGCATGCGTGCAGGAAAACACCTGGTGCTCCTGGGCTCTCCTGGGGCAGGGGAGGGGGGAAAGGGGGGAAAAAACCCAACAAACCAACCAATAATGCTTGAGCTCAAATATAACTAGAGGGACCAGGGGAGAACTTGTCAGAAACAG